TGAAGTTTAGGTTATGCAATTGCACATGATTGCTCGACGACTGCGGTCTACACGAGTCAAGAACGGGGCGTTGCGAATTGAGCAGCCAAAACTGGTATTTTCACTAAACGAAGACACGAAAATGCCTTATGCAGTAAAAGCTGAAGAGGTTTGTAGTCATGTAGTCATAATTCGGAAACTATTAACGTCATCCTTCCAGCCTCAAGACTCTCATAAATTAGAGAAAGAATTTATGTTGCTTGCAAATATCGCTGTGGCAAAGAAGATTGAAGCACACTTCCCGCAAACAGCATTTTTAAGAAGGCATTCTCCTCCAAAACAGAAGGTTCTCCGTGAAGTTGTACGTTCTGTCCTATCTATATAATCACAGTCCTTTCCTAAGCACGTACACTTGAACGAAAAATTTTAAACTGTTTAGCTTGAAGTTTGTGAAAAGATCGGTTTTCCACTTGATGCAGCATCATCGGCACGTTTAGCTTCTTCGTTGAGCAAGTTCCAGGGTGGTAACTCTTTACTGCAGTCGATTAATCAGGTATGCTTATGCAATCTAGTTTCCAAGGTTTCAAAGTTCAAGGGATTTTTTCCTTAGGTACTTTCGATGCTGTTAGCAAAACCAATGCAATCAGGATACTACATGTGCGCTGGCTCAGCTAAAAAGAAGGAAGAGTATCATCATTATGCGCTGAATGTACCATTGTGGGTTGTAAACCTTTATTTCGATAATTTATTAATGACACAAAATCTTTTATTGTGATTTTTACTTTTGCTTTGAAGGCAGCGTCCCCTCAAGCTGGTGACTCCTGGAATTTGACAACCTTGTGATGGCGGATCCCCCAACTAAATCTATCAGTGAAGTTTGCGGCAAGAAAGGACTTCTAGAAAACCCAAAATCAGCTCTGGAAGTCTTCCGAGCCCGGCCCATTTTCTTGCTCTGCCCACCTTTACATGCATTCGGAGCGGCCGCTGACACGGAGAGCTTCGCATTCGGAACGGCCGCTGACACGGAGAGCTTCGAAAAAAGGTCATTTTTGCCAATTTCATGCGCTAAAGCCCAGATATGGTTTCAGCATGGCGAGAAGGCTCCGA